GTGCGTCCATAGCTCCTTTTCCAAGCACAGTTCTCTGTTAAATTAGGAAATAATATCAGAACCTATAGGTTTTTCTCCATTTCCTGGGAACATGACTTCTTTTTTTTTTATAGTGTGGAAGATTGGCCCTGAGCCAACATCTGTTGCCAGTCTTCCTCTTTTTGCTTGAGGAAGATTGTCCCTGCACTAACATCTGTGCCAATCTTCCTCTACTTTGCATGGGGGACGCTGCCACAGCATGGCTTGATGAGTGGTGTGTGGGTCCACACCCAGGGTCTGAACCAGCCGAACCCTAGGGCCGCCAAAGTGGGACACACGAACTTAACTGCTATACCACAGGGCCAGCCCCCAGAAATGGCTTTTTGATAACTTGAGATAACTTAAGCAAGTCTTAGAAAATGATCAGGAAATGAGTTTAAAAAAATAAAATGGATTACCCAAGGAAATTGTGGAATCTTCTTCCCAGAGCTTAATCAGCGCATAGAATTTAAATGGGAGGAAGTTTAAGGTGTGTGTGAAGGCTATGAGATATAGACAAGATCACTTGGTAGAACAAAGACATGGACTTAATATACCTTTCTTTTTATGTTTGATTCTTTGTCGAAGCCTTGACTCTTTGCTTGTGCCCAAATAGGGAAAGGGCTCCAGAATTCTTCTCTTGATTTGGATTCCTCTTTCTCCACCGTGATGTACAGTCAGGTCTGCTATAACATGACATACATGTTCCTAAAAATCACGGCACAGGGCTTGTGGGGAAAATAGAGCTAGGGGCACAATACTCAGAAACTTTGTCAGTGGCACATAAAAAAAAAGAATCTAATAAAAATGGCAGCTAAGTTTTACATGTGTTAAATGGTTAAGAATTACATAAATAACACAGCAAATATGTCACTTTACCTTGAAAAGGACATGAAGTTGCTTGTGGAAGCCGTCACAGGAAGGGCTACAGCTTGTGAGTTATCATGAAGCGATAAAAGGCCCCTGACATCAGAGGGCAAGTTGTACCACCAGATGTGGATGGGGTGGCTCCTAACATGCATGGTGGACTGAGGGTGTTGGTCCTTCTATCTGAGGTGTGTGTGATTGGTGTATTTTTACATTAGGTTCAGCAGGGTGCAGTTTTCTCTGTTCACATGTTTCTCGTGAATGAAATTGGGCATAAGCAAATGTGAGATTTGTGTCATGCTCAAATTGCCCCCTGATATCTCATTTGCATTGGAATAAATTTGCACTTTAAAAATAAGTGTTATAGCAGAACTGACCACAGTATGAAAAAAGTGGGCACTCGGGGTCAGAAAAACTTAGTTCTGGTCCCAGAGTGGTGATTTTTAACCTGGGCAAGCTCCTTCCCTGTCTTTACCTCACTTTCTTTATCTGTTAGTGGAGTTGGTAACAATTGACATGCAGAGTTGTTCTGAGGACTAGACAGAGCAACAAGGTGGAAATGTTCTATAAACTGTAAAGGGCTCTCCGAGACTGTTCTCATAGAACCTGTAGAGTTAGAGACAGCAGCTAAAGAAGAATGCGGGGTTGAAAGTTCACCCACGTGAAGTCTGCTTTTCTTGAGAAAAATATGCAAACTTGCCTTTTCAATGAGCATGAAGCCATGCCTCTAAAGGGAAGGAAGAGAATGTGGCTGGCAAAGTTTCCTGTGAACATGTGTTTAATGTCACTTTTTAGATGCAGCCCTGGGCCATTGTTTGTGCTCCTGGGGTAGTGATGTGGATGCAGTAGTAAAGAAAGCCAGTGAGGAGCAAGGGAAGAGGTGATCTTGCTAAATGAAACTAGGAGAAATACAAATGTGGTGTCCAATAAGTTTTGAAAAACACTGTCAGAGCTCTCAAGATGGCTGCTTAGAGCCAGCCCAGCCCAGTGGGTCAATGGAAAGAGAGATGTTGCCACGGAAATTTGGCCTCATCAGATTTGTTACCCAGATTTCTGTGACATTGTCTTCTACCTACTGCTCTTCAGTACTTAGAGACATCATAGAAATAACACCCAACCATTTTCCATCTCTCACTCCATTTCAATCTCCCTGCTGTAAGAGATGTAGAGCAAACCTGTGGGAGAAAGTCAAAATTACTTTGGGGACAAATCAGTTTATATTCAGGATACAGCTAATACAAAAAAAAAATATGGCTAATCCATTGATATACTCTCTTGCTACTTTCAGTCATATTCTATAATTTGGGTAAAATTTTTTTCTGTATTTGGAAAGTAGGTGTGGCTTATTGTCAAGCTTTGATGGTTCAGTTGAAACACATCATTTGAAGGGAATGCATTTTAGTAAACATTTTTTGCCTTCATTAGTCTTAGAATTCCCTAGAACTTTCTCTATGTTGTGAGGGTATAATTTTATTCATATTTGAAACGGTGTTAGCAAATTGAACAGAAGGGATTATTCATATAGAAAAGGTTCTTCCTTATTAGGTTTGGCAATTCTTCAATATAGCAGTGAGTGAATCTGTGTAACATTCTTTTCTTTTAAAGGAAGGACAGGTGCTATTTTCTCTGCAAAACTTCACATCCTTCACTGGATGTGCTTTTGAACAATTTAACATACACTTTCTTTTTTTTTTTTTTGCCTGTCTCAGGAATCAAAGCACAATCTTCTAGATTCTATAATATGGGTGGCTTACCCATGTTCAGTCTAGTCCAATGAGTCTATACAAAGAGGAATATTGATTATGTGCAATAATTGAGTGATGAGTTTCTTTTTTAATTTATATTTTATTGTGGTAAAATATATGTTATATATAATTTGCCATTTTAACTATTTCTACAAAGATTTGATGATAATTAGCACATTTTTCTTCTGCAACCATGTTTTCCTTTCTTTCCAAAACTGCTAGAAAGTGACAGAATAAAGATTTGATTTTGATTTTGGTTTTTCTGATTCCAATAGAAGTAACTGATTGCAGGGGTTAAAAATGGACCATGTAAGAGGTAGTGACATAGAAGCTACAGGCCTGACTTAGCAAAAGGCCAGCTCTAGAATCAGTAATCAAATCTATTTCGAGTACTACTGTGCACTGGGTAATATGCTAAATACAAAAATATACACATTAGACATAGTGATAATCTCAAGCAAGTGTTCATCTAGTTGGAGAATTGTGATAAATGCTCATGAAAAATAATAATACAAAAAAGTAAGTAAGGACCAAATGGGTGGTAAAGATAGTAGGTGCTTTTGGAACTCAGAGAAGGGAGAGAATGATGATGTGATGAGAGAAAAGTTCTAGAGGAGATGGCTTACCAGTGAGCCTAGAAGGAGCCCTAGGCTTTGAATAGAGAGACTTCACAGGGCTTTTAAGCAGGAGGAAGAGTGTGGTCAAATGTGCAGAGGCAGGGGGATGTGTACGTATTTTTAGAGGACCTAGATTCACTTCCGGATCATGATCTAATGTGTCCTTCATGGTCCTCAGGAGAACTTTTTCCCTACGAGTTAGAGCTGGAGAAAATCCATCTTTGCTCTCACTTCCTGTGAGTATGCCCCATGCGATGGATCCTGTTTCATCCTGGGTAACACATGGTACAGAGTCATACTGTCTAATTTGTTTGATGACTGAGGTCTCAGCTTCCTTCTTTCCCTTTAAGAATTTAGATCCTGCTGGGGCTGGCCCTGTGGCCAAGTGTTAAGTTCCCATGCTCTGCCTCAGTCGCCCAGGGTTCACCAATTTGGATCCTGGGCATAGACCTACGCACCGTTCATCAAGCCAGGTTGTGGTGGCATCCCACCTAGAAGACCTGAAATGACCTACCGCTATGTACTGGGGCTTTGGAGAGAAAAAACAAAAAAAGAGGAAGATTGGCAACAGATGTTAGCTCAGGGCCAATCTTCCTCACCAAAAAGCATACAAAACAGAACAAAAAGAATTTAGGTCCCTCATAATCAGGTATTAAGTCTTTGGTTTTCATCACAGAGTATGTATTCTGTATACCAAGTGCTTAATTTAGCAACAACAATAACTTGAATAGCATGACATGCTAAAAATAAATAAAAGGCAGTAGCAGCAACAAAACAAAACCAAAAACAACATTAGCATGGCTGAGTCAATAATGTTAGGAGGATCTAATCTTGTGTGCTTTGTGCCCGTTCCAGGAATGAGTTTTTGCTGAACCATCTATTCTGGGTCATTCACTCCCTCTCTTAATTCCTGCTGGCCATTTGTGAGATGAGCTAGTTTTCTGGGATTATAAATACAATGTGTGGTTTCGCCTATTTTTATCTGTAAAAATCTAATTGGGGGAAATAATAACTAATTCTTTCCTTAGTCTCATGAGTTCCATGGTGTAATTAACTTAAAATTCCCGACCCTTCTATAAGAAACAGTAATGTTCCCTTTAAATCGTATACCACAGATTGAAGAGATAAAATAATCCTGAACAAGCACTAATGATCTTAGTCATTATTAGTTGAATTATGATGAATTTGATGGTATTATTGGGTCAGGGATCTTCACAGCTGCACAGAAAGCCACCTGGTTTAGTGGAAATTATTCAGGCATTAGAGTCATAGCAGCCAGGATTGAAAACCTGTCACCTTCTAGTTTTTATGACAAATTGCTTAGATGTCTGTGATCCTTGGTTTCCTTGTCTATAATAAGAGATTAATAGTAGAACTACTTCATGGGGTTGTAACCAGAATGAAATTAATTTTGTTGTTGTTAGTGCCATTGAGTCAATTCTGACTCCTGGTTGACCCTGCTAGTATTTGAAATACTGGTGGCACAGCTTTCAACTTCACAGCAACATGCAGCCGCCACAGTATGTCAACCCACAGACAGGTGGTGTGGTTCTCCAACCGGGAAAAGAACCTGGGTCACAGTGATCAGAGCTCCGAATCTTAATCAATAGACCACCAGGGCTGGCTGAAATCAATTGATCTATATATAAGGTCTAAGTTAGCACTTAGTAACTGACAGCTATTACTAATTATTTTTCATCATAAAATTTAAGAAACTCCTTCTTAAAAGTCATTCTTTTTGTGCCTTTTATAGCATGAGAAGCTGATACATGAATTGGAAGAAGAGAGACATTTACGTCTTCAGAGTGAGAAGCGATTGCAGGAGGTGACACTGGAGTCTGAACGCAACAGAATTCAGATGCGTGGCCTGCAGCAGCAATTCTCCAGGTATTGTTATGAACTGAGCATCTTGCTTCAGAAGATGCATTTCTCCCTGCACCAATTGCACCTTTGCTTGAATTCCCACTGTGCAAGATTGTGTTGCATTTGACCAGTTACTTCCCCAACAGTTTAAACCTTTAAGCCATCTTATTGCATTTGGACCAATTTTCTGAAACTTTCCGTTTGCACCTCACATCGTCTTGGCTTTATTGAAGCTGCTTGTCTTTTCTTTCAAGAGGTCTTCCAGTAAGTTGTGTTGGCTTTGTGGCCTATAGGCATGTCTTGTGAAAGGCCAGCTAAGAGGATGAAATTTCACTGGTCATCATAATCTTATTTTAAGGTAGAGAGACAGTATGAATCTAATTAACCAGTAAGCTCTTACTCATTACTTAGAGGAAACATTTAGGAGGAGTTAAAAAAAAATCAAAATCAATGGTTTTCTTTCCTTTAAAAGACGTAACCTGAATTTGAAAGGAGCATTCTGAAAAAGTAGCTCTTCTTAGATTTAATTCCAGCACAGCCAGAATCTTTCAGTTTTCAGTTATTGTTAATATGGATGAAGATTCAACCTATTATTTAAAATCTACTCAGTTCCATGGAAAGCAAGACAAACTTGTGCAAATACAGTCTTGGGACCAGATATGGGGAGTCTGTGAGGGACAATTTGCTTTCATTTCAATATTTCACTTCACCATTTGCAAAATCAGGAAAATAATTTTTGTTTTTTCTCCCCCGTGAGGTTATCCCAGGCAGAATCAAGTTTGAGAAGTTGCCCTAAAATTTTCATGAGAAAACTCTGTGGGTCTTGTCATTAATTTCCCACTGGGATTTGGATATGATCGGTGACAGACAATACACTTCCTCATTATGAGGCTTTTATAATGATGCTTAATTTTCAGGTGGGTTGCTGGGAGAGACCACAGTTGAACCTCCAAATGATTTATCTCATTGTGGCTAATACCATGAATACTTGCGACTTTGGTTTAGAGGCTTCTTGGAAGAACAGGGTGGGAAGGATGGATGGCTCCTCAGGGTTCAGAGTCATAATTGAACACCCTGTTCAACTCTTGGAGCCCATGGTAATACACTGGTGCTGTAGAAATACACCAATCAATACTTTAACAAATGCATGTCCCACCCCTCATGGGCTATTACTTATAGAACCTCCTGCTCGATTTTTCATTCAGTTTGATGGTAACTCTCACTTTGTGTCTCCCAACTTGAAAAAATAGATTCCTCTTCCGAAGCAGCTTTAAAACAAGTACTGCTTTGTAATATTTGCCATTTTAATAATATAAGAAAGGAGGAGGCAGATCTTGCTGCTCTTGCACTGTCTAATTGAGGTGTCTCTGTATTCAGGCTATTGATTTACAGGGCGTGAGGCACATGGCGCAGTAAATTATTTTCATATGATGCCAGGTCATCTGCTGTAAATCAAATGACAATCCCATACAGATCTGAGTTGCACAAGAGCCAAGGCAACATCCTAGGCTGAAAGAGAAGATAATTATGTGTAAAACAAATAGTGGTTGGTTTTACATACAGCTTTGCGAAGATTTTTCCCCCCAGTATAACCAGTTTTCTTACGTAAAGCTTCATTGAAACTGAAAAAGTCAAGTCCATTTACAGCCAGACAACTAGTGTAAATCAGCAACAATGGAGGAAAAAGCGTGCATGACAGATCAGATAATTACTCAATAATTTAAGTAGACTCACTAAACCGTTTCTGATGTCCTTTCACATTTTAAAATTTGACTTATAAGATATTTCTAGTTATGCTTATTTAAACAATCCTGTACCTATAATTTAAGTCTTCGTAAAATTCTCAGTGTTACAGAACATGCCTATAGTGCATCACCCTTGGACATGATCAGCATCTAAATGTTCACATCAATGATTTCTATAATCCAAATTATTGTATTGAATTAAAAATTTTATATTAATAATTTTCTCCTTTTTGCCCCTGGGTTGATGCGTTCATTTTGTAGCTGATAATATCTGAGATGTGGACTTATTGCAAGTATTGTTCACGGGGTGAGGTTACTTTTAAAAATAATGCTAATAACTTGCCTTTTCAAAGTATCTGAAGTGGCTTACAATAAAAGGTAGTTTTACAATATAGCTGACAAAATAAAAACTGAAAATGAAAACCGTGAAAGGGGACTATGGCAAGTAATCATACTTACAAAGCCCAACGTCTTTTCTGGGAATGAACATTTAATTTACCTGTAAGATTCCTGGCAGACGAGATAAAAAGGATAACACAAGAAGATATGTAATTCTTGTTTTGTAGACAGAGGCTACTACTCCTTAAAGAAAGAAACGTTATCTGTGCTAATAAGTTCATAATGGAATGCATCACACGGGCCCCTTCATAGATGGCATTGAAGGATATAATAGAGAATGGTCCATGACAATGCAAATTAGGATTAATTCTTAGAAGTGTTACTACTTCTGCTATGTCACTTATGTCTGCAAAGTTAAACAGTTTCTGAATTTCACAATATGTGAATTAGGACTGGTGGGTCCATGCTCAAGTGATAACAGGTAAAATAGGAAGACCTCCAGTGCTCGGGGTTCTCAAGTCAAGCACTGTACGGCAAGTTCACAGAAACGTCCAAATATGTGTTTGTTGTAGCTCTCTAATTCCTCTTTTATGAACCTGGAGCTCAGAGGCATGAGATGTGGAGGCCTGGGCTGAGTTGGGTGAAGTATTTTCCTGGTATGCTTGATGGCACTATAGCCATGGGAGCATCTAAACAGTAATTAAGGAGATTCTGAGTCTCAGATTCAGGGATGAGGTGAAGCGTTGAAGGGGAAAGTGAATAATGAAGTTAGAAGCTGGGAACAATTAGGTGTATGTGGGAAGTAGAGTTCAGGTGTCAGAACGAGTGATTCAGGAGAATTAGTCTGAGGCTTGATTTTATGCAGTTTTAGTTACATGGTGGGCCTGGTGGCTTAAAAGGCACCAGGCAAACCTGAACACTTGTGATTTTCTGTGGTAATGAGTTACAGGATCACTTAGGTGATAAAAAGCTCTAACAAATGTTTGAATGAGTAGTTCTCTTTTATGTCACCGCCAAACCTTCTTCCATAATACCGTCCTCCCCCTTGACCTCTGATTAGGGTATAATGATAATGATCAGCAGTGGTCCAAAATTTGGCAATTAAAAGAACAGGAGAGGGAGATGGGACCAGAGGTTATGTAATCAGCTCTAAGCTCCTAAATCAGAAATTGCCTGCGCTGAGGGCGATTCAGGCAGCCATACCAAAGTTGATTCAGACCATTTTTACTCTTAAATATAAATACAGAGAAGAAAAAGATACTTTCAAATTAAGCCTTCCCCACAGATGAAGGAGCTTTTCCATAAGGTGGTACTTAGAGGCAGGTGGTGGTATCATCGAGGCTGCCCTCTCTTTGTCTTACTGTTTGGAGATTTAAATCAAAGATCCTTTCCGGACATGGTAATGAATGTTCAACCCATCATCTGTGTGGTAATCATGGCCGGGCGTATTTTATGTGGGATTAGCTTTGTGACCCCCTATAGTTCCACAACTGTCTCCATCCTCCCTTTAAGTGTTTATTTGAACTGTGATTGTCCAGCCAGCCAAGGTTAATGGTGTGGACTAAGGCTGTGGTACTGCCTTCCCTTTTATGTAAAGAAAATTAATGTCAGAACCCCAGACTCATTACTCTGCTTTGAGTGAATGAAGTGTTTGTGCATCAGTTCGATTCATCTGGAGAAGCACTGCCAGCAACACTGTCTCCAGCCAGGTGGGCTATGTTGAGGTGGTGTAACAATGAATTTTAAAAAATATACTTGTTAAGAAATAAGCCACTCTGCAGAGTTCTGGTTTCATGCAAACCATGCCTGGTTTGAACATGTATTTGAGTCAGTCCCTTTGGAAACAGTCTAATCAATGTGTAGATTATTCCTGAAAGCCGCTGCTCTTTTCAGCCAATCAACCACTTTTATTGTGTGCACAATAAGATAGAACAAAGTAATGTCCTCAAAAAATGTAGAATCCAGATAAAGAAGGCTTAGGTACATATATGAACAACACAACACATTTATAGTTTAGCTATCGAGGAAGGGAAATTTTGTCCAAATTCAGGACAGCCAGACTTCCTACTTGTTAATTGCATGTTGTCATGCAAAGGCATGAATCAAGCCAGATGAAATTAATGATTGCATAGAGATGTTATTGATAATAATATGTGTGTTTATCATGTGACAGCTGTATGCAGGAATGTTTGAAATTTAGATTAGAATGCACCTGGTAGACTTACCATCACGCAGACATATTTTGTAAACTATCTACAGTTAGCAAATCATATCACACCCAAAATATGAGGAATTAGTTAATGTTTCTCTGTAACCTTGAAATGTTCCTTGCATGCCTGTCTGTGTGTGTATTTACACTATGCAGTGTAAATTTGTTGTTGTTGTTGAGGAAAACTGGCCCTGAGCGAACATCTGTTGCCAATCTTCCTCTTTTTGCTTGAGGAATATTGTTGCTGAGCTAACATCTGTGCCAGTCTTCCTCTATTTTGTGTGTGGGATGCCTCCACAACATAGCTTGATGAGTGGTGTGTAGGTCTGTGCCCAGGATTGGAACCTGTGAACCCCAGGGCCACGGAAGCGGAGTGCGCAAACTTTACCACTACACCACTGGGCTGGCCCCTCTGCAGTGTAAATTTAAGTCAAGGGAACAATACAGCTTTGTCACCCGTAATTGACTAAGATAGTTAAAAATTGCCCAAATGGAGTCCAGGCTTTCATGCTCTACCTCCAGGATCTCTCCGCACCTGCTTTGACCTTCTCTGCCGGCACTCTTATCTGCTGCCTTGAAGCTATTTCTTTGCTTACTGTAGGGGAGATTTCTCCTATCACAGTTGATTGCCGTGCTTAAGTGCAGTCTGCTGCATGCTGAACTTCAAGGAGACATAATGGAGATGGTTTTACTGCTTAACGCATTCGCTGGTTGCTGTTCACATTATTGGC